TTTTACCTATTTATTTGTCAGAGAGAGAGAAAGAGCACAAGCAGGGGGAGCGGCAGGCAGAGGGAGAAGCAGGCTTCCTTCTGAGCAGGGAGCCCAATGCGGGACTCAATCCCAAGACTCTGGGATCATGACCTGAGCCAAAGGCAGATGCTTAACCAACTGAGCTATCCAGGTGTCCCTGATTTCTTTCCTTTTTTTTAAGATTATTTGTTTATTTTAGAGAGAGAGAGGGGAGAGGGGCAGAGGGAGAGGGAGAGAGAGAATCTCAAATAGACATCTCACTGATCACAGAGCCCACGTGGGCTTCAATCCCAGGACCCTGAGATCATGACCTGAGCTGAAATCAAGAGTCAGTCGCTTAACTGACTGAGCCACCCAGGTGCCCCTCCTCTTTGATTTCTTGGTTGACCCATTCATTGTTTAGTAGCACGTTATTTAACCTCATGTATTTGTGCTATTTCCAGATTTTTTCTTGTGATTGATTTCTAGTTTCACAGCATTGTGGTCAGAAAAGATACATGGTATGACTTCAGTCTTTTTGAATTTGTTGAGACTTGGTTTGTGACCTAATATGTGATCTCTTCTGGATAATGTTCCATGTGCACTTGAAAAGAATGTATATTCTGCTGTTTTAGGGTGGGATGTTCTGAATATATCTGTTAGATCCATCTGGTCCAGTGTGTCATTCAAAGCCACTGTTTCTTTGTCGATTTCCTGTTTGGATGACCTGTCCATTGATGTTAGTGGGGTGTTAAAGACCCCTCCTATTATTGTATTACTAGTGATTACTTCCTTTATGTTTGTTATTAACTGCTTTAAGAATGTGGGTGCTCCCATGTTGGGTGCATAAATATTTACAATTGCTATATCTTCTTATTGGATTGTCCCCTTAATGATTATATATAGTGTCCTTCTTTGTCTCTTGTTACAGTCTTTGTTTTAAAGTATATTTTGTCCAGGGGTGCCTGGGTGGCTCGGTTGGTTAAGCAGCTGCCTTCGGCTCAGGTCACGATCCCGGGGTCCTGGAATCCAGCCCTGTATTGGGCTCCTTCCTCAGTGGAGAATCTGCTTCTCCTTCTCCCTCTGCCTGCCGCTCCCCCTGCTTGTGCTCTCTATCTCTCTCTCTGTGTCAAATAAATAAAATCTTAGAAAAAAAAAAAGTATATTTTGTCCAATATAAGTATTGCTCCCCCGGCTTTCTTTTCACATCTTTTTGCATGATAAATGTTTCTCCATACCCTCACTTTCAACCTGCATGTGTCCTTAGGTCTGAAATGAGTCTCTTGTTGGCAGCAGGTCTTGCTTTTTTCTCCATTCCACCGACCTGTGTCTTTCGTTTGGAGCATTTAGTCCACTTACATTCAGAGTAATTATTGATACACATGTACTTCTTGCCATTTGTTACTTGTTTTATGGTTGTTTTTGTAGTTCTTTTCTGTTCCTTTCTTCTCTTGCTCTTTTCTCTCGTGGTTTGCTGGCTTTCTTTAGTGATATACTTGGATTCCTTTCTCTTTGTTTTTTGCATATCTATTACTGGCTCTTGATTTGTGGTTACTGTTAGGTTTATAAATAACATCTTCTGCATATAGCAGTCTGTATTAAGTTGATGGTCACTTCAGTTTGAACCCATTCTTTACTCCTCTCCTCCCTACTCCACATTTTAAGTATATGGTGTCCTACTTTACATCTTTTTACTTTGTGAATCCCTTGACTCATTTTTATAGATATACTTAATTTTACTGCCTCTGGGCTTCCTACTTTTCTTACTCCTACTTAAGGCCTTTCCTTTCCACTCAAAAAGTTCCCTTCAACATTTTTTGTAGGGCTGGCTTAGTGGTCATGAATTCCTCTAACTTTTGTCTGGGAAACTCTTTATCTCACCTTCTATTCTGAATGATAGCCTTGCTGGATAGAGTACTCTTGGCTGCAGGTTTTTTCCTTTCAGCACTTTGAATGTATCATGCCCCTCTCTTCTGGCCTGTAAAGTTTCTGCTGAAAAATCAGCTGATAGCCTTAGGGGGTTTCCCTTGTATGTAACCGTTTTCTCTTGCTGCTTTTAAAATTCTCTCTATCACTACTTTTTACCTTTTTAGTTACTATGTATCTTAGTGTGGACTTCTTTGGGTTGATTTTGTTGCGGGTTCTCTGTGCCTCCTGGCTCTGAATCTCTGTTTCTTTCCCCAGATTCGGAAAGTTTTCTGCCTCCTTTTCTCTCTCTTCTCCGTCAGGGATCCCTATAATGAGAATTATATTATGCTTGATGGTGTCACTGAGTTCCCTAAGTCTATTTTCATTTATTATTATTATTTTTCTCTCTGCTGTTCAGCTTGATTGCTGTCCATTACTCTATCCTCCAGCTCACAGACCCATTCTTCTGATTCCTCTAGTCTACTATTTATTCCATCTAGTGTATTTTTAATTTCAGTTATTGAATTCTTTATCTCTGAGTAGTTCTTTTTTATGTTTTCTATCTCTTTGGTAAGGGTCTCATTCAGGTCCTCCACTCTTTTCTCAAGTCCAGTGAATATCTTTATGACCATTACTTTATTTATTACTATTATTATTATTATTGGAGAGGGAGAGAGAAAGGGGACAGGAGAGACAGAGGGAGAGGGAGAGAGAGAATTATAAGCAGGCTCCATGCCCAGTGTGAAGCCTGATGCGGGGCTCGATTTCACAACCTGGAGATCATGACCTGAGCTGAAATCAAGAGTCAGACACTTAACCATCTGAGCCACCCAGGCATCCTGACCATTACTTTAAATTCTCTGTCAGGCATATTACTTATCTCTGTTTCATTTAGCTCACTTGCTGTGATTTTGTCCTGTTCTTTCATTTGAGACTTATTTCTCTGTCTCCTCATTTTGACTAACTTTGTGTCTGTTTCTTTGTGTTAGGAAAGTCAGCTATGTCTCCTGCTCTTGAAAGTGGTGGCCTTATGAACAAGAGGTCCTGTAGTGCCCTGCAGTGCTGTGTCCCCTGTTCATCAGAACCTGGTGCTTCAGGGGGGTCTCCTCTGTGTGTTGCGTGTGCCCTGCTCTTGTGGCTGAGCTGCTTTTGCCTTCAGTCCAGTCGTCTGCAGTGGCTCTCTTTGCCTGTTGTGGGCGGTGTTTGGTCCCTGCAGTGTTAGTGGGCCACTGTTGGGCTGCCTTAGACTTGAGTTGAGTCAGACCAGGCATTTGCCAGAGACGCAATAGTATTGAACTACAGGGCGCTTTCTCTGTGTTGCCCCGTGAGAAGCTTTTGTTGGTGGGACTGCTGGGGCCACAGTCTCAGGCTGGTATATATGGTTATCTTCCCCTCTCCCCAAGGCAGGAGTCACTGTCGTGGCTGCTTTGCACACTGCCAGACTTATGGCACCACTTTGAATGGGCTCTGGCCAAGGGCATATCGGAGGGGGCATGTGCACAAGAGAACGAGGGGATATGCTGTGCTGTTAGCAAGTTAGATGGAGAGTGTTGGTGCTGTGCTGGTTCTCCCAGCTGTCCATGTGTCTAGGCTGGGGGGCAGGGGAGGGAAATGGTGCCTGCCTGCTCCTTTGTTCCTAGAGAAGTCTCCCAAAGATCCCTGCCCTTCCAGCACAGACTCTGAGATTAGTAAAAAATCTCCCTCCCATATCATATACCCCAGGTGTTTTTCAAACTGCTGCTTCTCCATGCTGTATCTCAGTGGGGCTCTTTGCTGTGCAGTCTCTTTAAGGGCAGGGACTCAGTTTCTTATCATCTTCCCAGGTCTCCCAGAGCCAAGCCTACTGATTTTTAAAGTTCCATTGTTAAGCGCCACTGACTTTAGGAACTCCTGAAATTAGGCCTCTCTGGTTTTCAAAGCCAAATGTTATGAGGATTCATCTTCCCTGTGCAGGTTCCTCATGCCTGGTATGCCTGGTGTGAGGGTCTGGTCCTCTCCTCTCCGCCTCTCTCTGCACCCAGTGTCCCTCCCCCCCTCTGATGGTCCTGCAGATTCATTTAGCTCCCGAGCGAATCTCCACCCCTCCTACCCTCTTCGAGGTGGACTCTTCTCTACATTCAGCTGTAAAGAGTCTGTTCTGCCAGTCTTTGGATTGTTTTATGGCTTATTTACACTGATATGCATGTTATCTAATTGTATCCATGGGATGAAGTGAGCTTGGGATTGTTGTACTCAGCCATCTTTCCTGGAAGTCCTCAGATAAAAAATTTTAATATAAACAATCATAAAAGGGATACTAAAGAATCACGAAGTTTTAATATTTTAACTCTAAAATTGTATTTATTACTCTGTAATTAATTTGCTTTCACTTTTTTCTTAATGAGAACATTAGATTTTCTTAATCAATGAAGTTATTAGTATTCTAGTGCTAAGTTATTTTAGCCAAAAACGAACCTTCAGATCACCTCTATAGGACTGTCTACTTGAGTAAATTATGGTGATTCCTGATGGGCACTTTGAAGTAGCGACAAAAGCTTGTATCATTACTTTCTTAAAAATCCCTCGGGCTTGGGGCACCTGGGTGGCTCAGTTGGTTGAGTGTCTGCCTTCAGCCCTGGTCATGGTCCCAAGGTACTGGGATGGAGCCCCACGTCGGGCTTTCTGCTCTGCAGGGAGCCTGCTTCTCCCACTGTCTGCCTCTCTGCCTACTTGTGCTCTCTCTGTCAAATAAATAAATAAAATCTTAAAAAAAAAAAAAAAAAGCCCTCAGGCTCATGGTTAGGGTCAGGTCTCAACCCCCAGACACCGTGGCTTTTCTCACCTGCAATATTGAACCCTCACCACCAGGTGTCACCATCTCACCAACATCGGAAAGCTGCCTCCTTTCAGAACCTCCATTCTCTGCTGAGTGGCAAGGGGGACCGGTCCAGCCTCTACATGGTAGGGGAGCCGGGAGACCACAGTGCAGTTGGCCGGTAAGAGTTGGCAAGTGGTGTGGGGGGTAAACTCAGCATGGGCGGTGGAGCTGTAAGCCCAACTCCGTCCTGCCTCAGGTGCCACAGGAGTCTTGGAGCCCACATCTCAGTGCCTTGCCCCGTGCACCTGAGCTCTGAGAAGGTGTGGAGTTGGTGGAATGGGTAGAGTTGGAAGGTTTGATTCTTCCGTCCTTCTGCTGTCTGATGACATCCTAAAATCGGGATGTTCAGAGAGCTTCCTTAGCCCAGCTGAAGATCTGATTAGAGATCCAGAGATGGGGCCCCCAAAGAGGCACTTGACCTGTGACCCTGTCTAGAGAACTCCCACCCCCTGAAGAGACCCTCTAGGCTAGCTGCTCTTATCTGGGGCTCCATGGAGGCACCTCAAGTGGCCTGTTCACTCCTGGAAATGTTATATAATATCATAGCTTTGGTTAGATTCTCAGAGCGGGCTCTGCACCCACAAAGATTTAAAACTGTGTTTCTGTGTTGGGGGGTTGGGTAGCAGGGGGCTTCTGGTCCTGCACCAGGCTTTGTGGAGCCTCAGACCGCTGTGACAACCCTCCAGTCTTGTTCCTAGCATGTTGTTTTTGCTGGTTGGAGCCAGTCAAGAGGCATCCGTCATCTTTAAGGCAGGGAGTGATTGGGCCCCGGTGCCCAGCCCTCTTTGCACTCACTCTGTCTCCGGTCCCCTGGCAGACCAACCAAGGCCTCACCCCGACGTGCCCTCAGTGTGGAGGACGTGAGCGCCCCCAGCCAGGCGCGCACGGTGGGCCGCGTGGTGGAGGTGTTCCCAGATGGCACAACCCAGCTGCAGCTGCAACGCTCCCCGGAGGGCTCTTTCGGCTTCTGCGTGGCCTCCGGGAATGGGCGCCGGGACTCAGGTATGCCCCCTCCCCTTTTCTGGGCTCCATATCCCTGGGGCCTTAGCAGACCACTTTTGGCTGTGGGCATTTCCAGTCTGTGGCTGAGACGCGGAGCTCCAGACTCAGACAGCCTCGTAGCGAAAGGACTGGAATTCTCCCTTTAAGGGCTCTTTGGGAAGTGTCAGGTGTGGGGCTGCTGGAGTGGGTAGGGATGGAGAGCCTGACTCCACTGCCCCTCTGTTGTCTGCTGACATCCTGAAATCGGAATCGGGCCGCCTTTTTGCTGGAGCGCCCAGAGGAGGCTGTGCTTGCTGGTTCTCGGGAGCCCTTTGATGCGGCTGGTGCGTGTAATGGTTCCCTTCCTCCGTGCAGGGTTGATCTGCACAGAGCTGCAGTGGGGAGAGAGGGCGCTGAGCTCAGGAGGGAGGTGCTATCTGGCCACGTGCAGTGAGCCCTCCTGGCTATGCGTCCGGCTCCCTCCCGCAGCGCTGGCTCCAGGGGATGATGTTCTGGGGATCCTGCCCTGGCTGCCCTCTGCCGAGCAGGGTTCAGTCCTGGGCGGTGATCTCCAAGGTCAAAGTCATGTAACCTGGAAAAAAAAATCTGCCTGTTGCCAGGTTTGCAGACTGCAGCAAGTTCTTACTTCTGTTCCGTCGTTCATTGTTTCAGCGAGTTTGCACGGAGCACCTACTAGGTGTTTTAGATACCGGCTATAGGGCAGGAAATGGAACAGAAAAAGATCCTGTCCTCAGGAGCCCACAGTCCAGGGAGGGAGATAGGCTGTACCTATAAAAAGGTATATATACATTTTTATATATTATCCAAATAAGCTGCCAGATAGCAGAGGGTATGAAGACACGAATCCAAGCAAAGCAGGGTGAGGGCCTGAGAGTGGGAGGACAGGAGTGCGGGTGGGGCAGCTCTTCTGAGCGGAGGTGTCTGGAGAAAGAGCAGTCCAGGCCCAGGCTGGAGGGTGGGAATGAGCTTGGCTGTCAGAAGAGCTGCAGGGCTGATCTGCACAGAGCTGCAGTGGGCAGAGAGGGCGCTGAGCTCAGGAGGGAGGTGGCTTCCCCACCCCCTGAGCTGGGAGGCAGCAGGGGCTTGGAGCAGGGACCAATGTGCTCTGATTTGCACTTAGAATGGGTGCCGCTGCCCGGCTGGCCGCCCGACCATGAACAGACGCTAGCGGGTCGAAGGTGGACCAGGGAGACCCCTTGTAAAGCTATTTCGGTGGAAAGACTTGCCGGCGGTGGCTCGGGCTGGGGAACCAGTGGGGATGTGAGAAGCGCTTGCAGTCAGCTTGACTTGAAGGCAGTTTGACGCAGTTTGCTGATGGTTTTACCTGAGCGTGAGAGGAAGAGGCCGAGTTTCTCCCCACTCTGGACCTCAGGGGGGTACAGTGTCTGTCCTCACAGGGAGATGGCGTTTGTGAACTTACACTGATCATCATAAAGGGCTAGCGGGCTGTTAGCTACTCCACCCTTTCCTTTAGCCTCCCTGTTCCTCAGGTGAGGGGCGGCAGGCCTCCCAGAGGGGCAGAGAGTTAGGTGACATGGCACGGTTTGTACTCCAGAGCCTCTGCCGGCTGTGTGACCTGAGCAGGTCACTTACCCTCTCTGAGCCTCAGTTCTCTCATCTCTAAACTGAAGATACTCAAACCTGCCTGGAAGAGTCAAAAGGAGCGTCCAGTGAGGTACATGGGAAAGTGCCTGGCACTTTTCTTCCCTTTCCTCTTCACAAAGAGAATTTGTATTTGGGGAACAGAACTCCGACAGGGAGCCCATGATCTGCACCATCTGTCCACGTGAGGTCCCACACAACTGGGCGTTGTGCTCTGCCCTTCATCTTCCCCCCAAGACCCGCTAGGCCGCTTTGCAGACAGTCGTGGAGTTGATGTCTGGTGGGCAGCGGTCTCTAATGACCAAGGGCTCCTTGGGCTCTGCCCTGCCCTGCCCCCCCATGGCACCCCGCACCTGGGTCGGTACGAGCTCTTCCCTGTCCTGCCCAGGCGGTGCCCTGCTCCCGCCGCCGTTGGCCATCGGCTAACCTGCAGAGATCCCCAGGCCCACGGAACATGGCTGGTGCTAGTTCCTCCTGGCCGCAGAGCCTCCTCCAGCAGCCACAGGTCACTCCTGCTGGGCCTCAGGGGGGCCGTGAGCTGGGGCTGGTCTGCATTCCTGGCTAAAACGTCCAGGCGCTGGGGCTAACTTGCTGGCTGTCACATCTGATGCTGTGCGAGCATATGGGAACAGCAAGCTTGGCCTCCGGCTTCTGAGCGCCACACAGAGATGATCCATGCTGAACAGAGGCCATTTCCAGCAGACAGTAAATACCAACAACAGCAGTCTGTCTGTCATATTTTTGTCACGACGTTCCATTGTGAAGCCTACCCCAGGGTCTCCCCCAGAATGACTGGCACGACATCAGTGTCTGTCCGGCTCTGGCTCCATGCTTTTGGGGTTTCTCATGGCTCCCCACATGCATGTCCTGCTTACAGCAGCCATTTCTGTAGGCACCACCCTCCCCTCCTTACCTGCCCTCTGTCCATGGCAGCAACATGCAGGGGGCCAGGCAAGTGGTTAGAACACCCGGACAGAAGGGGTCGGAGATAGGGCAGGGGCTGCAAGAAAGGCCTCACTCGAGCAGCCGAGATGGCCGGCATACCGCGTCAGGGGAGGCAGCCTGGCGGCAAAGGCTCGGCTTGGCCAAGAAGCCCCCCACACTGAGAGAGTTCCACAGTCAGACCCGGGAGAGGGAGTGTGTCAGGAGGATGGTTTTGCTAGACTCAGAGCTACCAACCTTCAGGTGCCTTGAAGGAGATTTCAGTGCTTTCAAGCCCCCATCAGAGGGTTGCTCTGGAAGGCATGCCACAAGCTGGGCTGAACAAAGCTCCTGTGGGCGGGGGGGCAGCAGAGGCAGGATGTCCCACTATAGTCCAAGTGTGTTAAATGCCTTCAGGCTCGAGACCGTGATGGGGGAGGAGAGGCCCTCTCAGGCCCCTTCCAAGGAAGCTGATTCTAGGACGCAGAAGTAGAGAGGAAGGAGTGTGCGGCCTGGGCTGGGGAGCCGTGAGGGCGTTTAAGGTGGCACTGAGCGGCCCCCCTAAACTCTGCAGGTGTTGTCAGCTGCACACCGTCCACACCTTGGCCTTGTGCTCTCAGATCACCTGTGTTCGCTCAGTTGGGGGTGGGGCGGGCGCGGGGTGGTGCCCAGCTTTCCCTGTAAGACCCTTTATTCTCTTAACTGAAGGGGAGTCTGGAAGGTTTTCAGAAGAAGTTGAGGTGACAGGGGTCCCTCAGCAGGACTCCCCTGCGCTGTGCGGCCGGGAGAGTCCCGGGGAACTCAGGCTAGCCAGCCCCCAGGCCCCACAGAGCCTGCTCCACTGATGTGGGTTCCCCAAGTCGGACCCAGGGAAAGGGGAAGAATCAGGCTCTGCCCAGGCTCACGCTGCACCTGAGAGACCCAGGAGACGGTCACACTGGCCAGGCAGGGCCTTCCTAGGGGCAGTGTGGGGGACAGGATGTGTGTGAATAAGGGACAAGTGAGCCACCATGGCTTTAAATAGGGGGTAGAATTTTTATGTTTCCTGGGCTTTTGCCCAGATGCCTCCAAATCCCAGTGAGGAACCACCTCTGAGGAAGATTGAGACCGGAGCTGGTCCTAACAGTAATATGAAGCAAACCAGGTTTGGATTTGACCTCGGCCATGTTCATTACTCCAATGATACCTTCCCACCCCTCCAGCTTCTTGAAGGCAGTAACTGGATCATATTTGTGAATCCCACCCAGTGGCAGGCGTGAAGTAGGGTTTTTTTTCTTAATTTTTAAACATCAGTTTCCTTCCTAGTCTACAATCAAAGCTCATCTCAGAAAAAGATAAGATCACCTCATTCACACAGGGGTATACACGAATAATAACAATAAAAAACAAGCATTATTTGCTTAAAACATTATTTTATTAAAGCATTATTTGCACAGCTTTTTAAAAGAGACAGAAATGAAATGATACCATGAGGGCGGGCACACTGTATCTATATAGAAAGCCAGTTGTGGTTGTGAGGTAGGATAATGAGGGTGTGCGCGTGCGAGTGTGTGTGTGCGTGCGTGCGTGTGCGTGCTCATGGAGCAGTGCCCTATATGAGCACCCGCTCCTCGACCCCCGCCCGAAACACCACCTGGTCAGCATTCCACAGAGCTGCATCTGGATTTCATGTGTTCACTTGTTCTGTTTTCCTTTGCAGGGTTCTACGTGCAGGAGATGGCTGATGCGAGCATGGCCAAGCTGTACTCGGGGCTGCTGGGGGTAGGGGATGAGATCCTCGAGGTGAATGGGGCCAAGGTTGCCGGGCTGGGCTTGGCTCACATTAAAGAGCTCCTGGCCCACGCGGAGAGCTTGTCAGTCCGTGTGCTGAGGCAGAGGCCTGTCCCTCAGTGACCCAGGGCTGTTTTGCCCTCACTGTCACCCCCTCGGAAGCCCTGACCTGCCCCAGGAGGGACGGCTGGAAAGGCACTGCACGAAGCTGCTTTATGGATGAAAACAGATCACAGTGGCGTGTAACCGCTTAGGCTGTGGCAGGGGCTTCTGGGATTGACGACCGTAGGGTGAGGGCAGGATGGTGTGTTTTGTTTAGGGATGTTAATTTATGCCAAACTGGGGAAAGCAAACATGGATCTCCTTCCATGCCGGAAGTGGTGTCAACATCTTTCTGTACCTTTGTCGGCGGGAGGAGGAGAGAGATTCAGGGGTACTTGGGTGAGCCCCTGATTGTCTCCTCACCCCAAGTCTCATCCCACTCTCGATCAGGGTCTCCCCCAGCCTCCACACTCCAGAACCAAAGAAAGTGCTTGGCCATATTGGCCTTGAATCTGCCTTTAAAGTCTCATGTCTTCCATGTCCCATTTGACACCTTTGCTCTTTTTCCAGAAATGGTTTGCAAAGTGTCCTAGTGTAACAGCCTAAAGCCATGGGCCATATATTCCAAACCCAAAATTGGAATATGTGGTCTGGTGTGAGAACATCTGGGAGATGTTATCTGGCAGCCAGAATATTAAGAATCTCTGGGAAATTTTTGTGATATATAAAGTTGGAGGGGGAAAAAACAATGAACCCGAGACCAAAGTCAGGGAAGTGCCGCTGTGGCCAGTGGGTCTGGCCGGCTCCACCCCCAGCCCCCTGCCCTCTGCTTCTGCCCAGGGCGAGGCTGGCGCTGGTGGGGAGGGCCTGCCTGCCTTCTCCGGTGGAGTGTGGGCACAGGCTGCAGCCCGTGCCAGGCTGTCCCCAGCCACAGGCTCTCTGCCCAGGCTCCCTGATGGCTGCTGGGGGTGGGCCGGCAGGGAGTGCAATGACGGGTACAGGCAGGGGGATGGGCTCTCCACCCGGCTGCCTCCCAGCTCTAGGCCCAAAGGGTTGGGACTCTGGGAGTGGATGGCCGTGTGTCAGTCTTAAATTATTAAAAAGCAAAGCTGAAGCTTCTCTCGCTCTGAGTCGCTAAATTCTGGGCTGGATGCTCACTTGACCTTGAATGGCCAAGAGCGGGGTTCTGGGGTGGGGGAAGAGGGAGGGAGGATACAGGCCCAGCAGTGAGCTGTGTCGGGCCTGCCAGAGGGGAAGGCCTGGGCAGTCCCCTGGGGTTGGGGTGACAGCCAGGGTAGATGCAGAAGCCTCTAGAGACAGTCCTTCCGCTGGGAGAGGAGCCTTGGGCAAGGTGCATTTCTGAACAGAAGACAGAATGGAGCTAGGGGCTTTGGGTAGGTGATACTGGGGGGCGGGTAGTGCAGAGGGCAGCTTCAGGGCTGTTGTAGAACTTGGGAAAACACACAGCCTTCGCTAAAACGAGTGTCCTAGCAGCTTTCCGTGGGCAAGATCACTGAAAGGCACATGTGGGCTGCGGGAAAGATGATGGGGGAGGAGGCAGGCAATCCTGTGGAGTGTGCAGTGAGTGTTTCAGGCCCTACCTGCAGGAACCAGTTAAAACCCCTCTTTACTGGCCCCTGGAGGCTAAGGGTTGAGGGGTGCTCCCAGAGCCCCTCCGCACTGTAGGACTGGGAGACTGAGCCACCTGGGGTGGGGGGGAATGTGGGAGGAATGGGGAGCTGCCAGCAGGGGAGCAGGGAGGCCGGTGGAACAAGTGTTTGGGCCTGCAGGGTGTGAAGAGGGTGCTGGGACATCTCAGAGAGCATCCTGGCCCCCCAAACTTGGGAATGGCCCCATGTCAGGAAGTATAGTCATGGGGGAACACTGGCAGCTCCTGCACCCCAATTCCTGGTCTTGAGGTCATGAAGTTTCATGTTGAATGAAAGCTTCTAGGGACAAAGGCACCTCTCTTCTCTGTATGGCGATCATGGACAACATGCCCTTCTGGCTCCAACTGGGAAGAAAGGGAAGAAAGGGAAGAAGGGGGCTCTGGCTGGGACAAGGCCGGGGAAGGTCTCTAAGGAATCCTGCGCATCTGCTTCTGTTACCTGCCAGGGTCAGGGCCAGGCTCTCGACACATCCTATTCAGTCCTTAAAAAATAGATCTGCCAGGTAAGCTCTGTGTAGCATCTTCCTTTACACAGATGGAGATCCTTTACACAATGACAGGTGTCTCTGACACAGGGCCCACTCCTCCTGCTGCGACCCCTCCCACAGCCCCCGAAAAAGGCTTGACAGAGGGGAGTGGACACTCTGGACTGTGTGGAAAGTAGACCTGCGCTTCTTGAGTAAAGTCGTGCCAGGGGGCCCGACTTGTGTGGGTGGGAGGGGACTTGGATTCCTCCAGACACCTGTCTGACAGTTCCCATCTGCTCTGCCTGGGGAGCTGCTCACCAGGTCAGCCCTGCGTCCCCCACACAGCCATCAGAATGTTCCCACTTAGAACGTCGTGTATTAACTGGGAGCCAGGACCTGTGACAGGCAGGAGCTCGGACAGGTGAGAAAGACGGGCTCCAGGGGCCACAGTCTAGGGGAGACGCAGACATTAGGCCTGGTGCGGGCAGCCGAGCAGGAGAGGGGGCCGGAGATGCCGCCTGCGCCAGATCCGCCCTCGGTGGGGGACGGAGGCTTACCTCCGTCCAAGGGGCACCCACGCGGGGCTTTGTAACATGAGTAGGAGCTGACAGGAAGGATGAGGGAAAGAACACAGAAAATAAGCAGCACGTGCAAAGCTGTCTAACCCATGGGCCCACCCCAGCGCCTGCCCATTATTGGTATTCTGGGTCCGGGGCTCGCTCCACAGAAGGCCGCAGACGTTGGGACTACACAGAACAGAAAGGGGCTCCCACTTGGGCCTCAGACATGACAATATCCTTAGGGTGACAGGTGGGGGTGGGGAGCAAGGTGAGACGCAGAGGGCGCGGGGCGCGCAGGCCTGGGAGGGAAGGGAGGGAAGGGCGGTCGTGGCCCGGCCGCGCTCCCACCGTCGCCCGTTGCAACTTCTCCTCAGGGCGCCTCTTCTCGGTGGCGGAGGGGCCGGCGAGAGGCGAGAGCACATGTCCGCGCCCGGCGCGCCCGGAGCCGGGGGCCCTGGGGCGGAGGGGAGCGAACTCGGGCGCGCGCGAGCGACCGGGACCGCCGAGGTTCTCTGCCCCGACGCGCGTGTCGCCGGCAAGTCCCGCGGGTCCCGGCGGTTCGC